AATAAATGCACTTTTAAGCTTTTTATGTGTTTTCGCATCTTATGCAAATACTCTTTATATGCGCATATATATATATACTTATAAAGAGAATATTTCATTTATATATGCATATATATAAATAATGTATATATATAAAAATAAAGTAATCCCATTCCAATCAAACGACCCCGTGATTCCACACTACTATCTCTTCCAGCGCTCCTCTCTCTAGATGCAAGAAAACGCAAAACACAAGCAACATGAGACCATGTATTAAACTACAACGCTGGAACCATTTCTGCTTTTGCAAGTTTCGCGCAAAAACGCATGACCGCACCAGCAAGCCTGTGGCTTGGCTTTGAATTACCACGCAACATATTTATACTATCATGCTCCATTAATGTGAGTATCCTATTTTAGCAATGCTACAAGAATAATTCTACATGCTAGTCACAACTGAGCCAGATCCTTCAGTCCGGTAGCTAAACATTCTCAATTAGTTTTTATTGCTCGCTCGCTGCATATGTGCATCTCTTCGGAAGTTACTTGAATGGTCATTTTCTTCCTCGCAGATACCATTCGTTAATACATGACTTTCAAAGACTGTGAGAAAAGCGAACAACATGCTCTAACCATCGGATTTTTCTTTCTCGGGTGTTTTCGTCCATCACTGCCATCATCACCGTGATACTGGACAAAGAAGCAGGGTCTTTTTTATTCGACACAGGCTGTGTCTTTTCAACCGGTAGCCTTCCACATGCAGTCTTCGGGTAGAAAATGTGGTGTTTAATGTCCAGGAAGTATCTCACAAGTTCTTACTAGTGAACACCACGCCAGGATATTCAAATCCGTGTTCAACTTGTTTTCAAGCAGTTCTCGAAAGGGGGAACAGTCCACAACGTTGCCATGGCATTTTCTATTATTTAAACTATTCCCGAATGAATTTGCCTCTCACAGAAAGCAAATACGAAAGGGATTGTGATTCCCATGATATCAAAACGTTTTTGGCATAAACTATGAAAAACAAATTCCAAATTTGCTCAAAATTTAAACGGATGTGGAAAATTACAATATTGCTGGTAAATTACTTGACTGTTGAACGGTTTCCGAATCGTGATATATCTTCCCAGGCTGATACAGGCTATACAGAACATGGATGCCATTTTTGAAACTTCCTCGACAAAATACAACGCTCGACAAGTCCACAGCTCTAAATATTCATATTTTACGATTGATGCCATGAAACAATAAACTTGGTTATACCTAGTTTTTGTCAGAAGTGGATAAAATTTTCGTCGATTAACATAATCCTGACCTTCCGTCATAGCGATAGCAAGAAGCTGGTATTTCTTCATCTTTATTTGGTTACAAAAATTATGCAAGTAAGTCAGTAAATGCGCATGAGATCCAGCTCTGCGGTGGTAATTTTCAGCGAATGTAGGCCTAGTGATTTTTAGAGTTTAAGACTCTCTTCACCTAAATAATCTGAATTTGGGCCTAATTTAAAAGAAAGAAGAAAATAAAAGCGCGAGGGAAGGGTATGGAAACTACTACAGAACTATCCATCAAGACATTTTCTTAAAATATTCGTTTTGAGTGGCAAAACCCACTTCCTCAAGTTCGACGTTTCTAGTTTTTATGCGTTTTTTGCAGCTATGCAATGCAGAAAACGCATACTGACGAGAGGTGGTCTGTGTGTTCGTCTGTACCGATTTTTCATCTCGAGACCGGCAAAAGCTACAGGGCTGAAACTTTGGGCATAATCTACATGCACGTACGGGCCCCATCCCCGAAATAGGCGGCCTTACCCGCGTGGTACCCACGCAAGAGCCCGCCAAAATTTTTCTAGGGTAAGTTGATAACTAGCGAACCAGAAAAGCTAGAAGGCTGAAATTTTAAGGGGATGGTCCCCATCCAATTAGGTATTAATGAGGTGAAACCTAGCCCGCGGGTAAATGTGGTGCCCGCATACGGGCCCGCCAAAATTTTTTCCAGGTAAGTTCATAACTCGGGGATCTGAGATGCTAGAAAGCTGAGATCTTAGGGTGATGTTCTCCGTCCAAGCGAGTATTAGTGAGCTCAAACCCAGCCCCCGAATAAGAGAGGTACTCGTATACGGGATCGCCAAAAAATTTTTTCGGGTAAGTTGATAACTCGAGTACCTGAGAAGCTGAAGGATCGTAATTTTAAGAGGACATATCCTGTTCACCTAAGTTTCATTCAGCTCAAACCCAACTCTCGGGTATGCGTGGCAAACAGCACGGGGCCGTAAAAATTTTTTTCTAATAAGTTGCTAACTCAGGAGCCAGGGAAGCTAGAAAGCTGAAATTTTAAGGGAGTGTCTCCTGACAGTTCTGGTGGTCAGTCTTAATTTGTTTAGCTAGAAGCATTTATTGAAAAAGCCGGTGCCGGTAGCAACAAAAACTGCGGGGAACTATGCAAAAAACGCATCTTCGTGCGGGCAGCTCATGCGTTGGCCAATTATTGGATCTACAACGACAAATCTGAACTGGTAGGTAGTAAAAATGATGTCTGAATGGTGATTTCAGTATTGTGCTTTGTGCGTAGTTATGAATGATGTTATAAAATGAGCCTCATTTTGGGCAGAACTCACGGATAAGAGCTAAACAAAGTGTGAAAATCTTCTGGGATCCTCGAATTTAATGTTGACAACTTTTTTTTTTTGTTTAGCTCAATTATCTGAGTAGATCTAAACAAGTTAAGGCTAAAGTGCTTTTTTTTCTGCACGAAATTGTATTATTAATCTGAAAAAAAGATCAACAAAACTTAAGCTTTCTTTGGATGCTTTTTGTCTGGGAAGCGGGCGAGCACTAAGGCGCAGTGACAGTTATTTGAATGGCAACTGACTTAATTCTAAAAATACGCGATACACCGAATCTCATAAAATAAGCTTCTTTGACAGCACTTACTTCTCAACCTCCTTGTGAGGACAAACGTGACAAATAAGGGCTTTCACAAGCGAAAAATTCGTACTTTTAATGAAAAAGTATTTTAAACAATTTGAGGACTTCTTCGTGGTGTAAAAAGCCGCAGCATCTTATTTACGAAAAACATATTTTCCAACCTTTAATAAATCACGGGAAGTTCTACTAAATCCGAAGCGTGCCACTTCGCTAAGCCCTAAGCTCGTGAATCTGGATATCACTTCTAATTTGACATTTCTGTTGTATTTTAGACACCAGCCAAACAGTTCCGTGGAAAATTAGTTGTAACAGCGAGTGCTGGAGAAGCGGTAAGGTGTCGATTCGGTAACCAGTGGGTGAATACGGGGCACAAAATTTCAGAATCATGGCCTCTTCTGTCCCGGGGTTGAGATTCAACTCGCGTTTAACACTGCGTTACAGAGTGTTTAAGGCTTGCGTAAAAAGAGTTTAAGGATCAATTCGTGCCAGTCAAGCAGCCCTGAGCGACAAGCTAATTCATGCTCAAGATGAGTGCAGTGCACTTTTTTACAAATCTTCGATAGCTCAACTGATTCCATTGAGAAAGCCAGCTATAATCCACAATTGCCGGCCACTTTTAAAACAGTTTCTTTCAATTAATTTTATTCACCTACATCTACTTTGGATTTAAAACTTTTCAATTTGAGACGGATTCAGACGGAGAGTGTTCAGAATGCTCACACGTTAATATTTTTGCGGGGAACTTTCATTACAAATGAACCAAACAGTGATTTTGAAAAACACTGTGTGCTGTACTTACGAAGTTCGAGGCTTTCGTCTAACAGATAAATAATGCGTAATGCGAGGGAGCAGACAACGATCAAATCGACGAGTGCCAGCACCAGAATATAGGTCCTC